ATAGAAAAAAGGGAAATCAGTAACGGTATATCAGATGGTGAGTTGTGCTTCCGAGACAAATTTCTTCCTACACTGAATGTAACATTTCTGTGTTTTAGTAGAAAAAAGGACAGTGACGTTGTCCAAAGGACCTTAATTGTGTTAAATACCTTAGGTCCAATGCTAGCAATGCCCAGCAGTGCATGACTCTGAGCAAGTCACTCCCTCTTTCTGGGCCCTGATACTTGAACCAGTAAAATGAGAGTAGATGCCGGTATTTCCAAAATTTCTTCTAGTCCTAAATTTCCCTTATTATATTATTCTACTTCATTTCATATTGAGGAGGCCCATTAAAATTTGGGGTAGATCAGAATTGTTACCTGAATTATATCATGAAAGCATTGAAAAATTAATAATTTTTTCATTATTGGTGAGCAATCTAACTTCTATGAATAGACTATATAGTGGCATTCAAGGAAATATTCTGGTGTATATTCACCAGAATCTTAAGTTCCTACATGGATTTAGCATTGGTTTCGTACCCTTTTAAAAGAAATAAGACTTTTATGAAGCAAGAAATTTTTTCATTTAATTATTTCTGTTTTATTAAAATTTTGTATTATTTCATTCACTTTAAATTCCAGACTTTAAAACTTGTCTTTTAGAATTTTGGGTGTATACTGATCTGATCTGAAGCCCTGGCTTTGGAACTTACCAATGTATAGCTATGGACAAATTAACAAATTACTTATATATTAAACCTCAGTTTCTCATAATCAAAAAGAATTAATAATATCCTCATAGTACTGTTGTAAGCATTGAGTGAAATAACAAATATAAACAGCTTAGCACAATTCATGGCACAAATATACTATTTTGCAAGTGTATTTTATTGTTAATATTATGCTTATTATTATTAAACACCCCCGTCATGAATGTTGCTTTCTGTCAGAGTAATCTTTTATAGAATGAATAATGTATGTCAAAGTGTTTTATTAAACAAGTCTGAATGGAGTACATTTAACCTGTTAAAAATATGAAAGTAATGACAAGATAGGATGTATACATTTATTTTCCCCTCATATTAAAGGTATAAAAAATGCACTAATTATGACCTTGTTGATGCCCTTGTTGGTCATCCCAGAACTTATAAAAAGTGTTCTAAAAGTTAGAGATTTGGCTTATTCTAAAAGACAAATTCTGGGGCCTAAAGAGTTAAATTGATATAAATCTCGACATTGATCAAGAGTTCTGTAGGATTGTGAAATACTTTTAAATGATGACTGGAAACAGGGAAAGACTTGACGATTGTTCTGATTACCAAGGGAAACAATAAAAAAGTAAAATTTTGAAGAAAATGGTTTCCAGTTATAACACATCATATCTCTAGTGAGACTTAGAAACTCAGAATCTAAGTCCAGAGTATAAAACTCTAACCACCTGGAGACTTTAAAAAGTAAGAACTTCAAATTCACAATTAAAGAAAATGTTGATTAGTCACATATTTTCAGTCCTCTTCCTAATTCACTTTTTTTTTTTTGTCTCGGGATGTCTTTTTAAATTAAGTTGATTGGGGTAATGTTATCTGCATATTACATTGTCTGTTTACCTCCCAAAGTCAAATCTTCTTCCATCGTGATATATTTGACCCCTTTTACCTTTCACTCCCCCCCAACCCCTTCCTTCTGCTAACCACCATACCATTGTCTGGGTCTATGAGTTTTTAGGGTTTTGTTTTATTATTTGATAATTTGTTGCTTTCAGTTTTATATACCACATATAAGTGAAGTCATACAGCTCTTGGCTTTTTCTGACCAACTTGTTTTGAATCTTTATAACTTTTGACAGAGTTGACCACTTCTTCCCTTTTTGAAACTCTCCTCATGCTTTCTGAAATGTTGGTCTTAGTTCCCCTCTTAATTTTACACCTATTCACTTTCAGTTCCCTTCCTACCTCTTCTAGGTATTTCTAAATAATTATATATTTGGTCTTTTTTTCTTTTCATTCTTGAAAGTTTATTCCATTCTTAATTTTATCACTGATGATTCCTAAAATTGCCCATCTAAACCCTATTCCTTCTAGTCCTTCAATAAATTGGTTATTCTGAGCCAAGAAACGCAGATAGGTCCACACCCAGGGCCTACAGTGTGTTGGAGATACAGAGAAGAAAACAAGCTGGATTATATTTTGGTCTATGAAAGTGAGGTATAGGATCTTTCCTTTCCTGAATGCGAAAACATTCAAGGGTCCAGGGAGGAATCACGCAGATGAAGCAGAGAGAACAAGTGGTCATTGTTGGTTGGGAGATAGATTATATTGAACAAATAATTACATTGATTAAGCAAGTGAAAATATTGAAGATAACTAAAGCTGGTTTCTCATTGTCAGAGAAAATAAGAAGAAACATGACAGGAAGCCTGAAAATAATTCTAAGGTTTTACATTGGGATTGGAGGTGTTGAATCAGTGTTGGAGAGTATAAATTCTGGTTCATGTAGGTACCGTACACAGAGAGAGGGGGGATATCAGTCATAGATGTAGATATGTGTACATATACACATAATGTATATAGATTTTTTAGCTCAGAGTCTACCAAGAAAGTCTAAAAGCAATGCACCCAACTAATAATGCACACTCTTTTGAGAATCCAAATCTTGTTGCTTTCACACTGTTATTCTCTAGAAGGAATCAGAGCAAAATGGGGAAAAGATCGATTCCAGAGCTAGGCCAGAAAAATTACGAGATGAACCTGGAACATCTTTTGCTTATAAAGAAACGCTCAGAATATGATGGACCTTTGTGAATGTTAAACTAAATGATGATAATAGATACAACCCATTCAATATGCTAGGAATCCATAAGCATATAATGAATAAATAAATAAGCAAAAAAAGGAAAGTTCCTCTTTACAATTGGAATACCAACTTATAAACCTAGAATGAATCCATCTGGCAACTATCATAGTGCTTAGGAGTTGTCAGTGGATGCTAAGGGTGGTGGGTTGATAAACGAATGATGAAGAGTAGGGTATTGACAATCTTAGAATATCCATAATACTAAAAATAATCATTTACAAAGGGAAAACACAATGACCTTATGGGATAGAGACCTGTCAGACACCAACACAATCAGATGATAAAAGTCAAGGTCATCAGTAGTGGAATGAGTCAATATCAAGTGCCCTCTAATATAATCACTGAAGAAAGCAGGGCACCATTTCTGTGGTTTCCTGATAAGGAAATTTTACCTTAGTCTAGGCATGAATAGACATCAGATCATCCTATAGATTTCAACATTCATTCCCTTTAAAGCTGCTGAGGACGTGATAGGGAAAGGCTAAGGAATTGTTACTGCTTGGAAGAGCATGAAGAAACATGACAACAAATTGCAACATGTGTTTACTGAGGTCCTAGTCCCAGAAAGAAAAAAGGAACATTTCTGAGACAAATTGCAAAATGTAAATGAGGTCTGGGGCTTAGATGAACGTGTTGCGCCACTGTTGATTTCCTGTCTTAAGCAGTTGTTTTGTGGTTATGTAGGAGAACATCCTTGTTTTGGGAACTACATTGTGTAGCACTTATGGGTAATGGATGCATCATGTCTGCAAATGGCTTTCAAGTGGTTCTGAAAAGAGTTAAGATAAAAGTACGTACAGAGGGAGGGAGGAAGGGTGACAGCGCAACTGTGGCAAAATGTTAACAGATGGGCAATCTGTGTCAGGATATATGGGGATTCTTTGTAGTGCTTGTACAACTTTTTCTGTAAGTTTGAGCTTTAAAAAAATTATACATGTTTTAAAGCGAATAGAAGGAAAACTTACCTAGACTAAGTTGATAGGACAGAATTTCATTAGGCAGTGTCAGCAATAGGCACTTACGTCTCTGTGAGCTCCTTGAAAGGAGAGATAGTTTAATTTATAGTTTTTATGTATTTATGTATTTATAGTAATTTATAGTATTTAATGGTTGGCAATTAAATATTATACTTGATTGAATGCATCAATTGAAAAAACTGAAAGAAATTTTGTATGGCTAGAAATTATTTTGTCATGTGGTAATGGCAAGAAATGAGGCTGGAAAGGTAAGTAGGAATTCAATAAATATGTATTGGATGTGCTTGTAAGCAAAAAAAATTCAAATAATTATAAAAATGGCTTGAGAAATGGCAGCTCTCTACTGCATCTCAAGTGATTAAGTAAATCATTCTGATCTAGATACATAAATCCTTTAAATTTTATTTGAAATACTTGAAATTTTTAACTAATTGGATACTATTTATCCTGCTTTAAGTTAATGGATTTACATGAACTTTTTTCCATCAGGATTACATGTATGTGTGTGTGTGTGTGTACATAGACAATTCATAATAATATCAGTGGGTTGTAAGAGCTGCTCAAACAACTGCAGAAACTTGCAGTTCGCTATGAACCCAGTATCGTACCCCACATAAAGAGTCTGTTAATCTCCATCTTTTTCAATTCTAGTTAGTTTTGATACAGCCAATTCGTTTGAACTTAATTGGAGTATTATTTTTCTGAATAGTTTCTTATGGAGAATATGACTACAGAAAAAGTATTTATTGGGCCCTTGGCATTTTCATAACACTGCTCTTGAAATCCCAAATGAGTAAAACAATCTGTAGAAACAGAGCTCATATTTAAGAAGCAAAATTACTTATCTCAGTACCTTTAGTAAATTAATTTGGAGCAAAGACATTATACTTAGTAAAAAGATGTAGGACAATTTTTTGCCTAGATATTTGTTCTCCCAAAATATGTAAGCATAGATATTCCTTATTTTATCTGCCAAAAAATTGGACAAAGTGGAATAATTTTAGAACTAAGAATTTATACTTTGTATATACACCTATAAAAATTATAAATGAATGTGAAATATAACAAATTCTGTAAAATACTCAAATGCATTCTGTAATTATAGGAATTTTAAAAGAGAATTGTTAAAGTACTTATTTTATAAATATTTACAATATTTCTTTTTATTTTGTTTGACTAAATATGCCAGGCACTTGGAGGTGTCCCAGGAAGTCAGCCTTTACTTCCCAGTGGAATGGACCCAACTCGACAACAAGGTAACTACTTTAACCCGAAAGTGAAATAGATGTGCTCCATCCAAAAGGAAATCCTTTATTTTTAAAGGAAATTTTTATTTGACTGAATCTTCCATCATTATACCAATTGCACTTTTGATATAATTATACCAAATTATAGCATGACCAAGTGATTTATTTTAGCTAACTCTGAATTATGTGTGATGGTGATAACATAATGGCAGTGATAACGTAAGAAACAATAATTAAACACCAAGCAGAGAGAAGGCTACTAGCCGCTGGGTGGGCAGCCATGCTCATTACATAGCTAACACCTTTCTCCTTTTGCCTTAGGACATCCCAACATGGGCGGGCCAATGCAGAGAATGACTCCTCCCAGAGGAATGGTGCCCTTAGGACCACAGGTAAATAGCCAGTGCAGAAAGTAGATGCTGAGTTTTTGTGCTTTATTTTATATAAACAGACCATGTTGTGTCCTGGCTTTTGTTACATGCATTCAACACTTGCTGTAATACACTGTTCAGCTCCTGAGAATGTGATCTGTGACGTGTCCAGATCGCTGTAGCTGCAAACGTTATGGACAGGTGTTGTCGCATGTGCATTCAGTGCATTTGAGAAAATACGTTGGGGCAACTATTATAAAGAGATAATTATTGCCCTTCTGTTAGTTATATAGAAGGGATATAAACATTTATAGAAAAAGATAACAACTATGTAAATTAAATAAGGTAAATAAAATCCAGTTGATTACAGATATTAAATAGAATAAGCAGCATAAAACATATTTCTGTAAGTTTTTTAGAGAATATCATTGACAATTTATTTTATACTACCATGTTTCTTTACACAATATGAAAATAATGAATTATTTAGAAAACAACCATTAAAAGCTGGTCTTGCTGAACAAGCATAATGCTCTCAGTAGACAGTAGATGTTAGCCTACTCCTTTATCAAAATTTCCCTGAAGCACACACTGAGGTCAAATCTAGCACAGCTATTCATGACATTTTTTAAGTATGCTCTTCAAGGATATCATTTATGTTAACTAAAACATCATTATTTATCTCCCTTTGGAAAACAGCATGGAGTAGAAAGTTAACTCTGTAATGTTATGTTTTAAAGAAATGAATTCAAAATCCAGAATTTAACATTTCTACCTTATGAGTCAAAAGGTAGCATGTCATAACACTGGTTAAAGGAATGAATTGCTGATTTGATTTTTCATTTCCAAGAACAGCAGTATAAGTGACAGCTTTAGGAGCTTGTCTCATGTATCTACTTTCAAAAACTTAAATAATATTTTGTTGTGTGCCCAAAGAAGTTAGAGAATTAGAATCTAACACCTAGACAATGAGACTTAGACCTAGGAATTTTAAACAACATACAATAATATGTATATTAACTGTATTGAAATATGAAGTACATATTACCTAATTTTTCAGAAATACTATATTACTTGGGAAAAACCCACCATACAAATATATGTGAGATCCTCAAAGTCAGAAAAAATTTTCTCTTTCATTTAGGGTCAGTCTTTTCCTATGTATTTTCTTAAGATTTTATAAAACTCTGATTTAGATGTTTAAATTACTTTTCCCTGTTTCTACTTATATTAGGGTTATTAATTTATGTGACCAACTATCAGTAAGCTATTAATAACAGTTGACCTATAGAATATCTCACTGATGGAATATATGTTTTTAATAAACCAAATATTTAATGAACATAGTTGACTGATATGACTACACAAAACTTGAAGGCTTTTTTCTCAGAAGATTTGCATAAAGATATATTTTAAAGATACATCAAAACCCCATGCCTGTAATTTTATTAGTCTTCATTTAGTTCACTTATTTTTCAAGTAGCTGCTCTTTAAGCTTTTGTCATTCCTAGACCAATGCATTGAATACTTTAAAAACTAGAGTCTGATTTAAGAGTCAGTTTTGCAGTGTATGAAAGGTATACCAGTGCTTACCTAAGTTATAACACTTAGATTTCATTTGAAAAAACAAGAAGTATAATGGTCTGTTTTGTTTTAAAAATAGCTGTATATTTGTTTTGCATTATAAGTTAAAAAAAAGTATGATAACATATTTCTGGAGACTAATCTCTTATTGATGAGTTTTAATAACTAAGCTGATTATACAAGTGTGAATTCTTTCTTTACATATTGAAACCCAAAGTGAGTAGTCTATTCTCCCATTTGGACTGGAATCCTTGCTATCTATTTCTACGTATTTTGAGGAAAGTAAAGTTTGTTTATGTGAACTTACCTTAGAAACCAGGAATACCTACCCTCAGTAAAATCACAGTATATAAATATTAAAGGCTAAATAAAGTATTCATACATATCATGTACGTAAATGAAGACAGGAATCAATACAGTAGGTAAAAGATGAGGTTAAAATTATTTAGAATGGGGAAATGTTTGTGAGATATATTTACTTGTGACACCTGGTATATAAAATGTAGGCATTATAAACTATGAAGTTTGTAGTAAAGGTTAGCTGTGTTTCTTGAAAGAAACTAGAAAAAACAACTTTCACAGCAGACACTTCATCATACAGATACCACCTTAGAGCAAAATGCACCTGCTTTTTTGTGATTGAATTATGGAAGTCATCTCTGGAATGTTGTCTCCAGCTTTATGCACACAAAATATACACGTCTTGTTCTTATCACAGATATTATTTCCATTATTTTTTAGCTTAAGATCAGTATGGTGAAGAGGAACAGTTGTTATCTATTGGAAAAATTTCATTACTAGAACAAAGAAATATATATTGTCTAGTGATTCTTAGTGCCAGTTTAGGCACAGTGCATGCCTAGAACATAGTAAACATATGATTAACACTTACTGCATAGATGAAGAAATACAAGTTTGCTCTAAATCCTGGCATATTTTCCCCACCTATTAATCTATTTTAATTATAAATACAATGGTAATACATGATTTTTGAAATTGATATTACTTTTTCAATAAAAAAATGAAATTATCTATGTAATCAAGAAAAATATCTTCCCAATACCAAATTTAAAGTAATTTTCCTCTTGCTTTTGTGCTAAGATATACTTAGCTTGCATGTGTTCTTTTGCTCAGCAGATGCCATATGATTAACAGAAAAATTCACCAAAACCACCCAACTATTTCTAGTTCTTCTAGAAAGCTTAAGGATAAATGAGTTATATACAAGTGAAAACATACCATAATTTCCAAATCGGATGCTTGAGGTGGAAAAATGGTGAGGTGGAAATACGTGATGGGCTCTCATGTAGAAAGAGAATAAATCCATTTCTGTATTTCCAAATATAAGATGGGAGGTAGAATTTAGTTCAGGATAAGGAAGAAATTTCTAGAAATCGAACTGCCCAATCATGGAAAAACTCTCTGTGAACTTTCCAAGCAGAATCTGAAGAGCCATTGTGTCAGGAACATGCATTGGGAGTGAGATTAAACAGATGGGATTGTGTAGCTGCCATCAGCTTCAGAATTCAGTGATTCTAAATTAGCTCTTTCTCTTCGCCTGTGTTGACACCACTTGGAAAGCCAGTTCTTCTTTCTTATATTCCTATTTTCTTTCTGCCTCAAATTAGTTACAAAGTGTAAATATTTTTAAATTGATCAAATTATATATTGGATAATTTCTTACTCATTTTCTGTGATACTTGATAACCAGGTATACAAAGAGAAGTAAAACAGACTCTGCCTTCAAGGAACTCATTGTTTATCAGGCAGGAAGTGCAGACACATAAAGGAAACTATTATGCACCGGAAAAAATCTAGAAAAGAAATATGCATATTCTGTCGGGGAGTCATTGCATAAATGAGCACAGTAACTCTGCTAGGATCGAGACCTCAAGGGAAGCTGATGAGAACTCATTTAAAGTTGGTCCCTTATTAATGGCGAGAAGAAAGAGTTAGCAGCTATAATTGTTGAGCACCAGGTATCGTGCTTTTAATACACCAAGCACTGTCCTGGGTGTCATATATGATTTCATTTCATTGTCTAATATGCTAATAGGGGAAAAATACAGGTAAGGAAATTACTTTACAGATAAGGAAATTAAGGTTATGTGATCATTGGAAGAATTGCTGGTCCAGGGTCACTTGTATAGGAAGAGGCTCAGAGGAAATGGGGCAGTGGCAACAGAGATTCAAACCAATGTCTTTCCATGTCCAGAGCCATAAGGGAAACTTATGTTTTCCTTGATAATATAAAACACAGATCTTCTAAGACCAAAGCCGAGGGGAGACTTTTCTCGTGAAGCATTTCTGTTACACTTTACCACTCAGATTTTGTTCCCAGTGACTTTCTTCTCAGGGAGTCCTTGCCTGCTCCACCACCTTGATCCAGAGGTTAAGGACATAGCTATGCCTTTAATCAGGACTCAAAGTGTGGACATAAACCATTCTACTGTCCCACAGCACATAGAATCAAGATGTTTAAATAAGATTTTCTGAAACTAAAAGAAATAAACAATGAGAAAATCATGTAACTATGTAATCTATTTATAAACTGGGACTTACTCCCTGGAGTTAACAGACTTTCTCTCATTGAATGTCTCCTTGTCATCTTAGTATCTACACAGAAGGCCACAGAACATGAGTTAATATGAGTGTAAATTTCTATTGCTTGTCTCTTAACCACAAAATGATTTTGGTAGGTTGTAGGATATAATTAGAATAAGGGGAAGATAGTAAGAATTATAGGAAATGAGGACAGGAAATACAGGCTAGGCTGACCTGGGAATAACCTCATCGAGCTGTGCTGAGGAGTCTGGTCTTGATTGGATAGGCACTGTGGGTCCTCATGGCTTCTATGTGACTTAAAGACTAAGTTTTAGAAGCATAGTTCTGGGGGGCAGTTTGGAGAATTGATTGGGAGGGGAAGAGGCTGAGTCAGGGAGAACAATTAAGACAGTAAAGTAGCCTCAGTAAATGACAATTACTAGTGATATGAAGGATCACTTCAAGAGCTGTTTCACAGGTAGAATCAGCAGGCTTTGTGGTAAATCACCGGAGATAGGAATTGAAAGAAAAGAAAAGACAGCAAAGCTCCTGGAGAGTCTTAGCCTGGACTGTAGTATGGAGGTCATACCACAGAACCAAGGAAGGCTATATAAAGAACAGTCATGAGAAGATAATATGCAGTTTACTTTTAGGTATGTTTAGTGTAAAGTGGTAACAATTCATGTGAAGTTCAACATATGAGTTATCTAGGAGCTTAGGAGACCTATCATGACAAAATATATAAGATTTGGGATTCTAACATAAATAGTTGTTGAGCTAATGGTAGCAGATGAAATTACCCATAGATGTGCATTTATGGAAATAATAAGAATTATTATTCTTAGAATATTTAAAGAATGCTGTGGCTAGAACATTATGAAAAGCACCATTTAAAGAGTTAGCAGAATAAAGGGAGCCAGCAAGGAAGACGGGGACTATCAGAAAAGCTTGAAGGAGTAGTGGTGTCAGAAAGCCACGCACGGAAGTGGTGGATCATGACAAAATATATCAACATGATGTGAATCCGAATCTTTGGGCTCTTCAGGAAACTAAAGCACGCTAATATCATGTAATGTATGCATACATATTGTGAGTTTACTTTAGTTTTCATGTGTTTTTGTACGTTTGTATTAGTGAATTTCTGTGTTCAATAAATTATTTTCTGAACAGAAGTTTGCATTCAACTTTCTTATATTGGGGTCACCTGGGGTTTCTTTTCAACTTTATGTAATTGTTCTGGGCCTGACAATTATAAAAATGTTGACTAAGTTTTTGCTTTAAAAACAGTTTTGAATTTGTGAAATGTTATACTTTTAAAAGTTCACTGTTGTACAGCTTTTAGGGAATTAATAAAAATATATTAAATATCATTGCAACTAATCTTAATTATTTACCATGTTACAATGATCTTCCATATTCACATAGTTTTTAAAAGACACAAACCAGAGTAATTGTTAAAATAGAAGCAAAAGTACAAGAGTGGACCCTTCAGAGAATGAATGGCACAGGCCTTATCCAGCCAGGAGTTATGTAGGGAAATGATTAACCTGCTCTCCTTTCTTTCCCCCCTCCTCTTTGGTTTTGTTTTTTTGTTTTGTGGTAGTCTGACCCTTGGTTATCATTACAGAACTATGGAGGTGCAATGAGACCCCCACTGAATGCTTTAGGTGGCCCTGGAATGCCTGGAATGAACATGTAAGCAAAATGCCGTGTTATCCTGTTTAGTAAAGTGCTTTGATTTATGTTTTCAAAAGTCACACTAAATTTGTAAAACAGTTTGAGCCTCTCAATTTCTGGGTAGTGTACAAATGGACTAAACATGGGCTGTAGTGTTTGCTTCACTTCCAGAAGATATTCTCTATGTTTTTCTTTCTTCACTTCAACCTTTACTTTCTTTCCATATTCAGATGCCATAAATGCCTTTTAACCCTTTATTTTTACTTTTATATTTTATTCAGTTATCATAAAAGTGAGGTTTTTTTAAGCATGAAGAATGCTGACACCAGCACCATGACTTAACTGTACAAGAGTGAAAAATTGAATACTGGTAACATCCTTTTAATAGGTACCTAGTAATTCCTAAAACTGGCATTTTTTAGCTCATATATGTGTCTTTACTTTTGCTTTGTTGGGCTCACTCTCAACACAGGAAACATTCTCCCCGATAGTGTCATCTATACTAAAGAACTCCCACGGTATAGGATAGATTTCCTTTTGAAAATTCAAGGCGCACTTAGATAAGAAGTAAACAAAATGTTTGGGGGTTTGATTGTCTTTTCTGGAAAGGCCTTTCAAGCCCAAAGATAGTAAGTTGTTTCTGTTGGCTTATAATATAATGCAGTTTGTTAAGGAATTTTCATTGGTTTTTATCATCTAACTTGCCCTCAAAGTTCCCTATCAGGTGCTTGTTAGTGAGTTTGATTAATTGACTAGGGGGTTAAAGAAAGCCTACAAAAATGATGAAAATGTTGCATATAGGGTTTGGGGTGGTCTCTTCTAATTTGTTTTCCATCCATCCATGGTTTGGTCACGTACATATCAAATTGAACAACTCTGCCACCATTTAGTGGCATTGAAGATAGACTATAAGATAAGCTCTTATGATGTACACAGGGATTTTCATGAAAAGCAGTTTTGCCTAAAATAGAAAATAGGTTAATAGGTGGGTATCAGCCAGACTGAAAACTAACAGAACAAGGGGACAAAAGTAGGTCAAATTTTCCTGTAACATCTTTTCACTTTCAAAGTAAAAATGGATAGACATGAAGTCTAACTTTTCTTAAATTCCTCAAAGGCTTAGCCTTTATTAATGGTTGCTGCAAAAAGGAGTTAGTGAAATTTTGTGCTAATATCAAAGCTGAAGCTCTTACTAGTAGGATTTAGAAATGTACATAAAATTTACCTACCTGAGATAAGTAAATTCTGACTTTAAAATTTCAAGGAAAATAATTTTGAATACTGTGTATACATGTAAGGAGTGTACATTTTGAATATCATGATCAACCCAGAATTATAATTAAATATCAAGAATGTATTTAATAGCCTTTTATATATTACTCTTATAATTAAACAAACACACATACAATCATGAGACCAAATATCTGCTTAAATTGCCTAGTTCTTTTATTACATACACTTAAATAGATATATATTGTACATTTAATTCCCCGGACTATGGAGAATAAAAATAGGGCTGAAAATGTTAATACAATTATTTTTGTTTATTTAAATTTGGGATTCTTATTTAAATATCCAATATACTTTTAAATATTTTTAATTATGTAATATTTTACTTATATAATTTCTGGCATTTAAAGAATCTTTAAGTTTTACAGACTCAGATTTTCATTATGTGTTAATATTGACTTTTATTTGGGGTGTTAAATATTATCTTCTGTTTTCTGTAAATTAAGATTTCTTCAAGGGCAATGGGAATGTAAATATGTCCACATTTATAGTTGTCAATACAAGATCTATCCATATAGTATCCAGATACATACTATGAAAAATAGTGACATTTATTGAAGAAGATACTAGATACAAGGATCATTGCACATACGACAAAGATGCCTCTGTCCCCTTCAAAGTAGGCACCTTGGGACCTCACACAGTTCTCCCAATCGCTGTCAGCTGCCCCATCATATTATACTGAAGGTCATTGATGGTCTGAAATCTCTTCCCTTTCAAAGGTGATTTTAGTTTTAGGAAAATTCGGAAGTGGCAGGGCACCAAATCTGGGCTTGTAGGGTGACTGAGTCACCTGGGTGATTAGAAGTTTCACCAAAAAACTCTGCACAGGAAGTAATGTGTGAGCAGGCACATTGTTGTGATGAAGCTCCCGATCACCAGTTGCCCATAGGTACAGACTTCTAAATCATCCCCATAGTCTCTGTGGAGGAATGTTCAAGCTTAATACACAGTTGGATGCAGTATTGTTGCTTTACTCACTCAGTCATTTTAATGCGATAGCCACACAGTACACATGCTCATTCAGTAGTGTCTGCTGCCCCCATTGACTAGTACAGTGAAGTGGTCATTGTTCACAGGTGCACATTCCACTCTCCTTGGCTGCCAGGTTGCATCAGTGTTGTGCAAACCATTCTGGTTATATTAACAACACCTGGACTTTTTCCAGACAGACCTTATATGTCCCTCTGACAAAAAAGTTCTGATGTATGGAAAATCAAACCAGAGAGAATAATTTTTGTGTTGATACTGACCCCAACAAAGCAAAAGTGAATTTAAAGAGACATTTTAAAAAAGCCCTTATGATTATTTCCATTGTACTCAATAGAGTAAATGTTACTGAAATTTACTTTCTTATCTTTAAAACAAAGTAATTCTCTGTGCTGTGATAAATAAGAATTTCTAACTGGTGTTTGTGGTTTTCTTCATGCCAGTTTTCACATGTTGTGTAACTTAAAAATTAAAGGAAATGCCATTTTAATAGTAACAGCTTAAGCTACGTTTTCAAGAGTCGAAGTAAGATATTTAAGGGTTGAGTCAGAAGGGACCTGCCGGAGAATCATTATCTGAATTAGTTTTCTTTATGTTATCACTTCTCATTTGCCATGAAAGTTTAACGATAATGGAGAAATAGCAAAACCCTTGTCACCAAATTAATTTAATACTGTATTTTAACTATCTCTTTATTGAAGAATAAACCATTTGGGATAGAATTTTAATAATTTTGTTGTTAAATATTGGTTGCCTCCAAAAATGGTTATTCTGCTATAATTTTTATACTTTATGCTCTAAACTCAGGATAAATTATTCATAATATCATCTAAAAATTAAATAACATACTTTTATTGTTTCTGTAATTATTATATCTTTAGAAGTAAAAACAATGTCAGTCTCAGTAATTTAAAGTAGAATTTACAAACCACAATGTAATGCATTATAGATTGCTTTGAATTGAAACATTGCTAAATTAAGTATATTTTTACCAGTTTTCAAAGAATTTAGAATTTAGTACTAAAGCACTTCTAGTGGAATGTTGTATACTTTGGTATTTCATGCAAACTAAGGACAAAGATATGTTCTAGATCATATCTTATAGAATTATAAATTTCATTTAGTTATTATCTGGAAATAAAACAATGGTGTATTACAGAAGAAAAGAGGATTTTGCTCCACGGTAATCATGGTTGCTTTAATTCCATCATATCCATATACCTGTACCAAAATATATATGCTTCTTTTAAACTCCATTTTCTCTTTATTTTCAAATTAGGCTAACCTTTATCCTCTGTCCATCTATGCTTATATAGAAATTTTCATTCAAAACAATGCCTATGTTATAGTTTATAGAATATCTTCTTGATGATGCTGATGGTCCTCAAAAGTGGTAGGAATTACTAAGACTGGTAGTTATTCTAATAAAACTGCTCACTACTATAACTCGCATTTTATTTAGCGTTTTTGTGAAACTTTAAATGTTTTCAAATACAATGGTAAAGTTGGGGAATTTTAGCTTATCCAAATGAATATTTAACCAATTACATTAAAATGCAGTTTAATGTGAAATATATAGTGTACTGAGATTAGATTAGTATTTGTCAAATAATTGCAATACATAAAAAGTATTTTATGTTACTTATAATAAATTCAACATTTAATTTAATGTTATTTAATTGTGCATTTAATTAAGTAAAATGTTTAACATTTAATTTAGCATGTTAGTATAACAGTAAGCAAATTTTAAAATAAATAAAATATATTTAATGTATCTTATTCATACAGTTCTTATTCAAACATATTGTATAACATAATTGTATGCATTTTTTGCCATTATTTGGGTATAGTATTTTTATGTTGTTTTAAGATAGATATTCTCAATTTTTTACTGTATTTTATTTAACATCAAGCAAATCAAATGTTTTACCTGATTAACATATATGCTATGTTTTATCTCAGTTCTGTCATTAGGCCATGGAGTTCTATATGTAAAATCATCCTTCTAAAGTGTCCCAATAATTAATTGTAAAGTCATCATCATCACCACCGTCATCATCTTAGAGAAGCAACAGTCTCCAGAGGCAGTCAGTGCAAGTGCTGCTCGCTTTCTCCCTGTGCACAATATTTTGACCAAGTCCCCTCTGGTGTCCTGTTTTCCCCTTCTCTTCCTCAAGCAGAATTGGGAACGGTTGCACTTGGGCACCCTAATAGAGACCAAGGGCAGAATTTTCATGCCATTTCCTATTTATGTTCTCAAGAAATCCCAAAATAAAAAAAAAACAAAACAGTTCTAAATATTTCAAGTAAACATGGGTAACAGAGCCAACTTGGACAGCCCACCCTCTAACATTTAGAACTTTAGGTTTAAGGTACCTACAATAAGAACAAGGAGATTTTTAGTTAAAAATTTTCATTGCAGTTAGAGGGAAAGCTAGAATTTTGAGTGACCATAGTTGCAGAGGACTTGCTGAGAGCAGTCTGCTTTTTACCAGGCAATATTTACTCAGTTATACTTAATACTGAACAATACAAGGGACCTTTCTGACTTAATTAGGCATTGATTTTTAAGCAATGGGATATAAATCATTCTCTTTTACCCTAAAATTAAGTAATATATTGATGTACGTTGATATAAGTTACCTCCTGTTTTTCCCAAGATTTGTAAGAAATATGATTCCCTTGTTTAATAAATAGTCAAAAGTACTGAGAGATAGATTGATATATAAATGTATAATGTAATGTGTGATAGTCTGAGATTTTTCAAAAAGAGGGCAAATTTATATACCTTTTAGAGCAATCACTTTTAGATATTAGATATTTTAAAAATAATTTTATTTTGAGTGAGATACAGGGTGCACTTATGTAACAAGATTATACTGTATAGCATCTATTTCATATTAGTACTTTTTACACAAATAGTGTGTTTTTATAATGATTTTGATATATGTATCTGCTATAGGTAATTACAAACTTTTATTGGTTATCACAATAACTGAACTTAATATCAAACTTAAACTGCACTTATTAAAAATAGTTTTATTTGGAAAGAAAATTGCTTTGTGAAATGATAAGTTTTTTGATTTAAGAATTGAAAAGCTGTGAAAATAAGTGTAAAGAGTAATCTCATTATTCAACAGAACTTCATGGTAACTAAATTATGAATGTGAATATTTTATGGCTTCTTACTGCTTATTGTGAAACACTCAAAGCAGAAGTTAAAACTCATTTATCATGATGTCTTGTAGGGGTCCAGGTGGTGGTCGACCTTGGCCAAACCCAACAAATGCCAATTCAGTGAGTATATGTGTTTTTAAATTTTCTTTGCACTTTATAGCTTTTAACATCAACAGAAGTCTGTTGCTTTGGAAAGCCCTACCATTGGTTATATTATATATATTTTAAGTAATCATTCAAAAGTATATATCTTGTGTATATCCTTTTAAATATTCATAATTGTAATTTTTTCACTTCAAGGTCTAATGTAAACACACATTCTCTGTAGATTAGCAGACCTTCCAAAATATAGACAGTATGATTTTAAGTATACTACAGTAACCTCTATTTGCCATAAAATGATTTGATTTATTATAAAATGATTTGATCTTCTAAAATAACTATGTAATCCCTAATTTTTCAGATAAGACCAATCTCAGTCAGGGTGTTTATGATTTTATTGGCTGTACTAGTCACAGCTAGGTTTGCTCTCTCGCTCACCGAGGAAGCCAGTGCACATTTGCCTTGGGCCCGTGTGCTAAACTGCCACCCTCACACATCTGTCTGTGTATCTGACATTCTGGGATTTTCCTTACATGTTTTGTGGCAGTGGTTTGACTGAACAAATATTTTTCGCTCTTAGTAATGTCACATAAATTTCACACAGGCTGAAAATCAAGCTTATAATCTTAAAATTAATAAGATTTTAATTTGATGATCCTGGAGGTGTTTTTTTCTTTTTGACTTTGAAATCTTGTGTTCCTCAATATGTGAGAGAGGTTTACTGTGTACATGAGTGTAGTGTGTACACTGCACAAATGTGCCTGAATCAAGGTCAGTAAGGGGCTGAAATACAGCTTGTGAAATCTCTGAATACCTGCCAGGAGGGGTTGCCTTTTGCTGATACACGCTGAGATATCTTCCTCATTGGCTAGCAGTGGCCTTAATGCCTAATAAACATGAAACTGATCAGTTTATAAGGAATTTAAACTTCAAGAAAATTTAAAGTGGCATTGTATTGCATATAGAAGAATCAACATTTATATTGCTATTCTAAAACAGAAATCACTTTATTCTCAATTAAGTAATTGCCATATTTTAGGGAGAAAAATTAATTTATATTACCTTCCTCCCTTTTAGTTTCAATAGCTATGATACTTGCTAATTAAATAAAATTATTCATGGTAGAGGGAATGATGATGTTGCTTCTATTTGGCTCTTCAGTGAACTACTTAATCTTAACAAATCTTTCTAAGATACTGTTTTGTCAGATTATGTTATAATGTGAACATCTTTGATCCTCCAAAATTCTTTTAATTTCCTTATATGCTTTTGAATAATTCACATTTCTCTTTGCTTTTTGCTGTATGTCTTTCAAATTCATTCAAGGCTTCACTTTAAAATGGCATCTGACTACCAGCTCAATATACAGAATTTTCACTCTCCATTAAAGTATCCAGAAATGTACATTAAAAATATTTATAATTCTCAAAACTCTGCCAGTCTCCCTGTTGCTAGAGTCTGAAAACAATTTATATTATCTGCATGTCTGATGAAACCAGATTAAAAAGCACAATCGATGGTCCCCCTTAACTATGTAAGTCTTCCCACCTAGAAGCATGAAAACTTTTCTCTTCTTCCTTGCTGTCAGCTTGGCAGCCACCTCCTTCTGCCCAGTGTGAGCAGCTGCAGTGCAATTCATACCCACCACTGCCTACCTCTAGCAGTACCTCCTTTTATACTCTCATCTAGAAACTATTATCCCCCAAAAGCAACTGAAAAATGGACAGGATTTGATATTCAGAATGGTGCATAGTATCTAAAGTCTGTACTGTAAGAGCAATAGAGGCAGAGATGAGAAATGAGTTTTGCATTCTGATGATTTTTAGTTTTGCGAACTCATCTCTTCAGGATTTCATAGAGCCAAGTACTGTGGATAGGAGAATATGCTGTGTCATATCAGCAGCTCTGTTATTTTAGACTGTGGGAAACACTAGGAATTACTGTAGGGGCTATGCATATCAAACTTGCTATCCTATGATCAGTCTAAAATAAACCTTTGCCCAGCACACATGTGGAAAAGTATTGGAATTGAAACAATTTCTTCTGTTCATATGTACTACAGGTAGGTACAGTCCCTCCCTCAAAAAATGGGAATAGGAAACCCAATTTGCCTCCTCACACAACCACATCAAAATTACAACTAAAATATAGAACAACTGTCATTCAGAACCACCAAGAATTTAGCTGATGGAAGTCCTACAGCTATGAGATTTAAAAAGAAACCACACTGAGACTAGGAGGAGGGGAGGAGAAACAGAACATGCTGGTCCCACTCCCACTGTGGCAGACTAAAATCAGGAGGTGTATCTCAGCAGTGAGGGGTCCTATCCCCAAACCAGGACCCTTCTTCCCAGGATTCCAGTGCCACAAAATAAGTCTCCATAGCTTCTGTCTATAAAAACCAGCAGGGGTTAAGACTATGGAAGACAGGAACCTCTAGGATTTAAGTAAAGACTCTGTACTTAACTGTCTCAAGCAGTTCCTCTTAAAGGGCCTGTGCACAGACTTACTTGGACTTACCCCCTCTGAGCTTCTGTGCAGGGGCAGCAGATTGAAAGGCATCAGAGATATATGGGGAGGAATCAAATGGTCTGGCATCAGGGCAAGAGCGGGGGGGGGGCAGTTTTCTCTCAGAAGAAGAGCCGGAAGAGGCCATTGTTCCTTTTCTGAGCACCCCCCCACACCTATCCCCCAGGCAGGTTCCATATCTGAGACTCCATCAGCCTGGATGACACTGTTTGCTACACCCTGGTGATTTCCTGAGGCCTAACCCCACCCACTTTCAGGCCCAACAAACCTATTTCCAGTGGCTTTCCATACTAGTGTCTTGTATTGGTCCATGCTTCAAATTTTTCCTCAGTTCTATCAAACAAGTAGCAGGTGGCTTTTGTTCACAGCTTGGCCTCACCAGGCACCTCCAAGCCCAGAACAAGTAGCAGCTATCAGCACATCACTTTGTAGCTTGTATCCTGTGTGACCCTGGACAAAAAACAGATGGTGGCTGACCTTGGACATACCAACAACAATCAAGTCTCAACTATAACAGGAGGATGTACACAGCCCACATGATGAGCATACCTTGAGTACCCAGCTTGGGTAATAGGGGATATAGTGCCAATGCACCCTACAGGATACCAAGTACATTAGGCCAATTTATCACTCCTGGGAGATATAGCAGCACTAATACTTATAAACAAACACAGGGAGGCTGCCAAAATGAAGAGACAAGAAACATGGCCCAAATGAAAGAACAGAACAAAACTCCAAAAAAAGAACTAAACAAAATGGAGACAAGCAATTGACTAGATGCAGAGTTCAAAACACAACACTGCTTATAAAGATGCTCAATGAACTTAGTGAGGACCTCAACAGCATGAAAAACATGCAGTCAGAACAAAGGATACACTAGTCGAAATAAAGAACAATTTACAAGCAGTCAACAGTAAAGTGAATGAAGCCAAGAATCAAGTCAGTGATTTGGAATATAAGGAAGCATAAAACAACCAATCAGAACAGCAAAAGGAAAAAAATTTAAAATGAGGGTAGTGTAAGGAGCCTCTGGGACAACTTAAAGCATACCAACCATTTGCATCATAGTGTGCCAGAAGGGGAAGCGTGAGAGAAAGAAATTGAAAACCTATTTGAAAAATAATGACAGAAAACTTACTTAGCTCTGTGAAGGAAATAGACATACAACTCCAGGAAGCACAGAAAGTGCCAAATAAGATGAATCCAAAGATGCCCACACCCAAGATACATCATAGTTAAAATGTGAAAGGTTAAAGACAGAGAATCTTAAAACCAGTGAGAGAAAAGCAGTTAGTTACCTACAAGGGAATGCCCATAAGACTGTCAGCTGATTTCTCAAAAGAAACTTTGCAGGCTAGAAGGGACTGGCAAGAAGTATTCAAAGTGGCGAAAAGCAAGGACCTGTAACAAAGATTACTTCACCCAGCAAAGCTATCATTTAGACTCTAAAGGCAGATAAAGGTCTTTCCAGACAAGAAAAGGCTAAAGGAATTCATCACCACTAAACCAGAATTATATGAAATGGTAATAGGTCTTCTTTAAGAAGATCAAACATATGAACAATAAAATGACGATAAATACCTATCTATCAACAATTAAACCTAAAAAAATAAACAAGCAGGCAGAACAGAAACGGACTCATGGATAAAGACAACCTTTTGATGGTTACCAGATGGGATGGGGTTGGCGACAATGGGCAAAAAGAAGGAAGGGATTAAGAAGTACAAATAGGTAGCTACAGGATAGTCATGGTGATATAAAGTACAGCATAGGGAATATAGTAGCCAAAGAACATATATGCATGATCCATGGACAGGGACAACAGTGGAGATTGCCTGGGGGAGTGGGAGGCTGGTTGGAGAGGGGAGATGGGGAAAATTAGGACAAGTGTAATAGCATAACCAATAAAATATAATTTTTAAAACTTTGAATGGAGAAGGAAATAGGGGAAGACCTACATTCTTCAGCTCAGAAAGTGAAAGGGATCACCGTCCAGAGCACAGAAAGGAGAAACACTCCTCCGAAAAAGATTTATTATGAAAACAAGAAAAAACATCAGAGAAAACTGATGACTTTCTAGCAGAAACATAGAGTTTACATGAAACAAGCAAAATGTATTAAAGAGGGATTTTTTTCCTAAATACCATTGATTATAGTAGTGACAACTCATCTATAATATTTTTAATTTCAGATTTCTTAGACTTCTTGCCCATATTTACTAACGCTTCACTTTGTACCAGTACTGGAAGTCTGTGGCACCTCAGGGAAGCATATTAAAGTGGTCATTTGTTTTGCTTTGCTGTTTTCAAATGTGCTTTACATACTATTTTTTACTTTTAAATGTTTATATTGAAGTAACTTCAGATTTATAGAAGAGTTGCAAGAAGAATAGAAAGGGATCCTACATACCCTTCACCCAGATTCCCAAGTGTTTAAGATTTGCCACATTTTGCTTCATGATTTCCTCTTTCTGCATATACATATTTTCC